AAGGGGCCCCAGCAGCTTTGGCTGCACAGCACCACTGACTTGAGGGCAGCTCCCTGGGAACCTGAGCACTCCTTCCCCACAGTGGATTCCTGGGAAGGACACTGACGTTCTCCAGGCCTCACTTTACCTTCTGTAAAATGGGGAGAGTCATAGCCCTTGCCTAGAAGGCTTGTTGGTGGGATGAGATGGGTGGTTAATCCGTGGGAGGCATATAGTAAATGTTCACTAGACAGTAGCCACCATGGGTTACCACATAGTTACTGTCATTATGTGAGGGTCCCAGGCTGACTCCAGACCGTCACCTCTGCTCGCAGGAGCTGCCTGCAGGCTCAGCCCCCAGCTGGGCTGGGCTGGGCTGGGCACTGGGTGGCTTTTCCACTCGCCCCGCTGTGCTCGGTGCCCTTTCCCTCCCCACCCTGTCCTCATCTCCACTGGGTGGACGGGGCACACACAGGCTGTGTCCTGGTTGACAGGCAAGGTGAGTCCTCGTGGGAGTGTGAAGAGCAGGCCAGGCCAGAGGGGGGAAGAGGGGACGGGCAGGCCACATCTCTAGTGGAGCCTCTGACAGGGCCTCCTGTCCTCATTGGATCCCAAACTTCTTGGGGGTGACCCAGACCAAGACAGTGCCTCCCTCTCTCCCCACTCCCTACTCGGGCTGGCCCCCCTCTCTCTGCCCCTCCAGTGACGGGGTGGGGGAACCCCCGGGCATGCGGGTGCCGTGACTCTGGTGTGCAATAATGAACCAGTCTGGTTGCTGGTGCATGTTAGTGATTTGTATATAGAGCTGTTCTCCCAGGACCCTGAGCACACAGCTGTGTGTATGTGTGAGCGTAAGTGTGTATGTGTGAGCGTAAGTGTGTGTGCACGAGTGTATATGTGCGCAGTGCAGGGTAAGCTCTGGTCCTCTGGCCGACACACACTGGAGCAGGGGTGGCCCCTAGCAGTCGGCCAGTGGACCAGAGCTCACCCTGGCTGCTCTGAGGAGTGGAGGCCCCTTTACCCAGTGCCCACTCTCCCCGTCTTAGGGCACCAGCGACTTCTGCACAGCTCCCGACACCTTCATCCTAAACATCACAGAGGGCCGGCTCAGTAAAGGTAATGGGTTTGTGGGCCTCTGTTATCCGAGCCACCTGGCCCACCAGACTATGCCTCCGCTTACCTGTTTCAGCCCTGCAGCCCCCCCGTCCCTCCCAAACCCCATGCTTCAGGACCAGCTGGACCTCTGGGCCATTTCTGAGAACCTGCTTCCTGGGAGAGCTCGGGAGTGGCGTGGCCACTGAGGATGGACCAGGGCCCAGTCCCTGGTGAGCTGCCTGACTCCGTCTTTGCCTTGCAGAGGTGACCCGTTACTACCTGTATTGCAATCAGAGCGTCAGCAGCCCCTTCCAGCAGGTATAGCCACCCCACTCAGCCCCCACCCAGCCCGCAGTGCCCTGCGTCAGCATGGTCCCTCTAGACCCCCGGCCCTGGCACCGACCAGGCAGGTGGAGGTGGCCGGTGTCCTTTGCTTCACTGTGGTCCTCTGAAGGTGACAGTGCTCTTGGGTAGCATCTTCTAGGTCAGTGTTTCTCACAGGTCAGCGTGTATGATGCCCATGACCCAGGGTGTGGTTATCACGCAGATGCTGTGAAGTAGGTCTGGGGTGGGGCCCAGGCCAGGCCAGTGCTGCTGGTCTGAGGACCACGCTTGGAGTAGCAAGAAGCAAGAGGACCCTGCAGCTCTCAAGGAGCCTGAGGGATGAGGGGAAGATTTCCTGCAGGCAGGAAGAGCCATAGTCAGGGATGTGAGTGCAGATGCAGCCAGGGGAGGGGCTTCAGGGGAACAGGCCCACCACAGCTGGGGGGGGGCGTGGAAGTGCGGGAGTGGAACCTCACAGTGGGGCTGCCGTCTCTCCTGGCCCAGGTGCTGACCGTCTTCCAGCGCTCGCTGACCACCATGCAGATCCAGGTTGCAGGACTGCTGCAGTTTGCTGTGCCCGTCTTCCCCACGGCAGAGGTAAGGCGGTCTCCCCAGCATCCACGCTGGGAGAGGGGGAGCCCCAGGGCTTTGGGGAGCCAGGCTGTGGAGAGGGTTCCCTCCCCACAGCCTGGCTCCTTCCTTTGGCTTTAAAGGCCTCTGTGCACCCGCTGCTGTTTGTGGTTTTATCTGCAAGCCCTGCCCCCGCCACTCAGTCTCTGCCTCTCTGTCTGTCTGTAGAAGGATCTGCTCAGCATCCAGCTCCTGTTAAACTCCTCAGAGTCCAGCCTTCACCAGCTGACAGCCTTGTTGGATTGCCGAGGGCTGCACAAGGTGCTGGGCTGGCCCTGGGGGCCAGTGGGGGTGGGGACACCCCAGCTGGCCACGTTTTCCCAGAGAAGCCAGGAGAGGCTAGAGGAAAGAGTGCCTGGGTGCCCCGCAGGCCTGGGGAATGGGGAGGAAGCTGGGCAATGGGAAGGTGGAAGAGGTGCCTGGCTTCTTGATTTTCTCTAGTAGCTGAGACAGGGAGACTCAGTGAAAGCACCAGGGACGAGATGGCAGGACTGGGTCAGTTACCTCTAGAACACTGGGGACCCACTGTCCAGACTCCTGGCCATCTGGTCAACCCATCCATCGCCCTGGGTTTCGATCAGACATCCTAATTTCAATGCCAGGGTCACCTCTCCAGGAGTTTGAACTATCAGACACAAATGCAGGGAACACACTGGCAGTATGTGTGCCCCCCGCCCCAAAAGCAATAAGCCAACGTATGTCAACAGCTTTCACATCCCATGTGGATACAAAGCAGATAGTCGCTAATGCTCATGGCTGCCGTCTATGGAGCACTTGGTTCTATGCTCAGCTTGTTCCATGCACTTTATATTAATATGCCACTTAGTCCTTACATTTATACTATGAAACGCATATCCTTTCGTGGGAAATTTTATAGATAACTGTGTGTGTGCGTGACTTAGTGAAGATTCCAGGATTGGCGAGTCAAGGCTTGGCTGTTGGGCCCTGGCAGTCTGACTTCAGAGCTGAGAACAGGGGTGTCACCCCTGCCCCCTCTCCCTCCAGCGCCACATCCAGTCCCTCAGGCAGTGCCAGTAGCTATACTCTCAAATGTGCCCTGACCCAGCGCCATCTCAGCCTGTCTTCTGCTGGCCTCTTTCTCTTTCCTGCATGTGCCAGGCTTGTCCCATTTGCCTCACTGCTCAAGGTGCAGTCCATTCCTTCTTGCCGTCCTGGCCTCAGAGTAAATGCCCCTGTCTCTGGCTCCCCCCCAAATCCCCATGACCTGGTCTGTCTTGTTCAGAGCCAACCCTCCCGTGCCTAGCACACAGTAGGTGTTCACAGTGAACCCAAGAAGCCCCACTGTGTTGGGCTCCGGAGCGCGGACCCTTAATGGCTGTACAAGGTGCTGGAGATGTGAAGGGGAGGAGGGTCCAGGCTGAGGGGAGGGGCTTCCAGGGACAAGCTCAGACCTGAGGCTGTGCCCCACTCCCTTCCAACTGCATGTCCCTCTCCTCCAGGACTACCTGGATGCCCTCACTGGCATCTGCTACGATGGCATCGAGGGCTTGCTCTACCTGGGCCTCTTCTCCCTCTTGGCTGCCCTGGCCTTCTCCACTATGATCCGTGCGGGGCTGTTGGCCTGGAAGCACTTCACCACCAGGTGGGCTGCCTGGAGGGGGCTCTTCTCTGACTGAGCCCAGAGCTGACAACCTGAGATAGACAAGAGCAGCAGAGGGCCCAGGCATTCTGTCCCGACAGGCTGCCTGGATTTCTGTGGGAGGTTCCCAGGGAGCCAGGGCGGGAGTGGGTCTGAGGATGGCGACAGCGTCATACCACAGCCTGGCCTCCCTTGCTGGCCCTCTCTTCCTCCACAAGACTTCGTGGTGTGATGTAAATGAGGAGAGCTCTCACTGCTGGGGGGCTGCCCCAGGATAGCAGGAAGCGTAGATTGTGGCACTGTTAGCAGGGCCCTCCAGTCTCACTGAGAAGATAGACAGAAGAAATGGTAGAGCAGACAAGAGGACCCAGGTTAGGGAGGTTCGGTGCACACATGGTCAGCATGGTGGGCTGCCTGGAGGAGATGGATGATGGGCTGAGTAGTCTGTGGGAGGCAAGGCTGAGGACTGTGTTTTAGAGGAAACTCAAGGACACACCTGTGGCCAGAAGGAGGGTCCTGGGAGGAAAGATTGGGAAGCACGCCAGAATCCCACTGCCTTGGAGCCTCCCTTGCCCCTCACGGTGAGCCGTATCCTATGTGTCATTCTAGGGACAGATACTATGACGACATCGATGATGACGACCCCTTCAACCCCCAGGCCCGGCGCATTGCCGCCTACATTCCCCCTCGGGGTCCGCTTCACAGCTTCTGCAGCTACAGCAGCAGCCTGGACAGCCAGACCAGCCTGCAGCCCCCCGCGCAGACTGTCTCCAACGCCCCCGTCTCAGAGTACATGTACGGCAGGCTCCCGGCCTCCCCTCAGCGCCAAGCCCAGGGGGGATAGGTGCGGGTCCAGAGAGCCGAGCGGGGTCCCCTCACAGCAGCCGTGGGACGCTGGCAGGAAGGCCCCCAGGGGCATTTAGTCACGTGACCCCTGCACATCCACGTGTGCAGAGGGAGAACCCACTGTGGGTGCTGGGCCTCCACAAGCCCTGCAGGGTGGGTCTCCGGGCCGAGAATCTGCATTTCTCCAGGCCACTCTGCTCCTGGGCCCTGTCCCCATCGGCTGCTTCTTCCCTGGGCCACCCGGAGCGCTCTTCCTGCCCACACTCCTGCTCTATCCATGGTCTGTTCCCATCCCCCCACTCCCGTATGCACACCCATGGGACCCTCCTGTAGAAATCTGAGCCCCTTCCCCATGCCTTCCCCTCCTGAGCTCCTCTCGGCCCGGCAGGAACCAAGCTGTGCTCTTCGGTGGGAACCCACGCTACGAGAACACGCCACTCATCGGAAGAGGCTCCCCTCCTCCCACGGTAACCTGGGCTCCCGAAACGGGTGGGCAGAGGAGTTCTTGAGCCAGGTGTCTGCCGGGGAAGGAGCCTCTGCCTTTACTTGGCAGGACGAGGTGCTTCACCCGCCCTGTCCTGGTAGTTTGGAAGGGACCGTCCAGTTGGCAAACTAGGAGCACTGGCGACCCAGGGACATGGGATCAATGACAAAGCCCTGGACCCTGAGGACCAGGTTGCTCACAGGTGTCCAGCAAGTGCTTTGGGTGAAAACCATAGTGCTGGGCCTGGAGAAGAGAGACGGGACCCAGCCCTGGTTTCCAGGAGGTGTATAATCTACAGGAGGGACACTCAGAAAAGCTACTTTAGTAAGTGCCCCACAGCACTTCGTGACCTGGAAGGAGGAACTGTCCCCACCGCTCTGCGGACCAGGAAAGGTCCTGTGGAGAGTAGATGGCATTGGGCCATACCTTAGAGCAGTGGATCTCGCCCTGGGCGATTATGCCCCCCAAGGGACATTTGGCCACATCTCTCGATATTTTTGGTTGTCATATCTGGAGGTAGTTGCTGCTGGCATCTAGTGGGCGGGGGCCAGGAATGCTGCTAAGCCCCCTACAGCACACATGATGGCTCCTACCACAAAGAATGACCGTCCCCAAGAGTCCCTCATGTTGTGGTTGAGAAACTGCTCTGACCAACCATCTGTCTTTCCCGGCTGGGACCCCCCCTTGCTGTTTTTGTCCAGAGCTCCTCCCCCACTGTCCTTGATAAACAGCACCTGACCCAGGCTAAGCTCTTGCATCCAGGGTCCTGAGGCCGGGAGACCAGGTGGGGGTGGAAGCCTGCATTCAGAGTCCGCACCTGTTTTTGTTTTTTTGGTTTTTTATTGATTTTTAAGAGAGAGAGGAAGGGAGAGGGATAGATAGAATCATCGATGAAAGAGAAACAGCTATAGGCTGCCTCCTGCCTGCCCCCTACTGGGGATCAAGCCCACAGCCCAGGCTTGTGCCCTGACCAGGAATCAAACCGGTGACCTCTTGGTTCATGGGTCAACGCTCCGCCACTAAGCCACACCAGTCAACCAGCACTTTTGAAACGCCACCTGGCCTCTCTCCAGTTGGAAGCCTCCCCCGTTCCTTTTCCTCACCACCAACTGCTATGGACCCAGGAATGCAGATCGGTTTTAGTATTAATATGAGCACAGATAATTAGGGGAAGGCTGCTGCTGTGAGAAACGAATTACTCAAAGCACCGTGTTGCCAGATAAAAACAATTTTCAGATTACCTTCTGTTTTGAAAGATCCAGGCCACTCTCCCTGCTGTTAGCAGAGACAAAAACTGACCTTATTTGCAAGGCTCAAGGACAGAATCAACCTTCCTCCCAGAATTAAAACCTGCCCAGAAACCCTAATTGCTTTGGCAGAGATGACTGCCCTGCCCCGGGCAAGACCCCCCCCCTCGCCCTACCTTCCTACCATTGCAAGGGGCATGAGGAGACCCAAGAGCCCACAGCATGGAGATGTGGGGACGTGCGCCCCAAATAACACCGCCCAGCTGGCCGGTTTCTGCCCCAGCTCTAACATGGGGTGACCCTGTTCTGACTGTCCCCTCCCCTCTCCCCCGCAGTACTCGCCCAGCATGAGGGCCACCTACCTGTCTGTGGCGGATGAGCCCCTGCGGCACTACCGCAATGAGTTTCCAGCCTAACACTCCAGAGGTTCCTGCCTCCTCCATCTGGTTTGGTTTGTAATGAAGTCACACGAAAGCTGCATTTCTTCAATAGAAGCCAAAGGCCTTTGGGAGCCGTTTGCAGGACTGGAGGCTCCTGATTCCGCAGAGGAGCCGCCGAGGTTTGGGCAGAATCAGCCCGGGCTTGGCCAAGGTCCTGACCAAAGCCCCAGGCAGACGGAGGACCCACCACCTGGACCAGCCTCTCCCTCTTCTGGCCTCCTCTCCCCACCAGAAATGACCCCCAGCTGCTCAGCTGTCCGAGCTGGGAGCTCACTCCTGCATCTGCCCTCGCCGGTGGGGAATGGCAGTGAGGAGGGGCCAGGTCAGGCTCCAGGGCCCTGTTGCCAGGACTGTGCCTCCTGCGAGCACAGCCCAGAGCCCAAGCAACACTCTCTGTCTCCTGGCTGCACGGATGGGTAGCATTTTCCTGCAGGTGAAGGTGGAAGAGCTGATCAGGAAATGCTTTTAAGGAAGGTGGTGTCCCCAGTGAGACCCGACACTCCAAATCAGTCTCCCAGGGCCTGGTGGCCTCTTTCTGGGCCACAGAGGGAAGGAGCTGGAGAGCTCCTCATATGAGGCTGGTGGCTCCAGGGCCCAGGGACTGCAGCCTGGTGCCTGGTGGCTTCTGCAGTGACACCCAGTGGGAAAGCGGGTGAAAACCTGCCCCGTTCTGCCAGCTCTCCACAGCCCACCATCACCTCACCTCCATTCCAGACTCAATGCTGGGAGTTTGTTCACTGCCAATAGGACGGTCTCAGGTATTAACAGACACTTTGAAAGCGACTTTAACTCTTTTTTTTCCAGTGTTTTAAATACTTTGATTATCCAAAGACTTGAGCCTCATAGCATATCCAGTTTTTACAATAGATTTGGGGCTCACTCCTTTTCATATCTTGCTGACACCGGCCCGGTCTTTAAGGATATGGGGTGGGGGAGGGGGGTTTTAAACAAAATAAAGATCAGTGAGACATCCTGTCCTAAGCTGCTGTTGGATGGGAATGTGGGTTCACCCCACGCCGGGGGAGGCCCTTTAAGGGAGGAAGGAAGGGCAAACAGCATGCATGGTCCCGCCCAGGGGAATGGCCCGGTCCTGGGACGGCTTTCCCGTCCCTTTTGTCTTCAAGCAAGCTTGTCAGTAAAGGTTTTAGCAAAGCTGGACAGCTGTGTCTTGATACAAAGAGGCGTCTTCCCTACCTCCCCACCACCCTGTCCCCAGCCCGTTGTCCCAGGCCCCCGCACTACCTGCTAGGTGAGAAGGCGCTTGTTAACCAGGAGAAAACAAAGACCCGTCGTTCTGCTCACCCACAGAGAAGCCAGCGTTAGGGTCTTCGGTGTGGCCAACACTGAAGCCCCCACAGCCTCATGTGCCAATGCTGGGACGTGGGGTGGCATGGCTTGGGACAAGGACTCTATTTCTGTTTTGGAAGAGCCACCTTCTCATCAAAACACTGACAGCAGAGTGGTTCCCAGCCCCCAGCCAAGCCCCCATGACACAATGGGGCCCCAGGGCAGCCCCAGCTCTCACCTGCATTAACCTGTGCGAACCAAGCACCACAAACGCACCGTTGTGTGGCCACATCGTGTGCAGATAAAAACTGAGGCGACAAGCTCTTGCTTCTTAATGTTTCCTTGTTGGCGACTAGAGAGTTGTTTTTACTGTATGTAGACTAAACCATAACCCCTGGGTGTTTCCTGAAGGAGCCAAGTGGGCACACCCCTGCCTGGTACCTGTGCACCTCCCCTGGGGGACAAAATAAACCACTTCTACTAAAATGTGTGCTCAGTGCCTGACTCCCTTGGCTTCAGGAGTAAGGAGGGGATTGAAGGGTCCCTTCTGGCTGGGTTATGTATGGGTCAGAGGCCTTCAAGGCAGATTTCAGTAGCAATTGCAGTGTGAGGATTGAAAGATGTGGCTATGAATGAACGTCACGGGGCCTGTCTCCTAGCTACTCTTACACTCAGCCTTGGTTCTGCCCTAGGCTTTCTCCCAAGTTCCCCGTAAAGGTCATTGCTCTTAATATTGCTAATATAAGTAGCATACGTTGGACACGTGCAGTGTACCAGGGACCATCCCAAGTATTTAAGTGATTTGCTAAACAAACCTCACAATAACTTATGGGGTCACTCATTTTGCAAATAAGCCAACAGAGGCACAGAGAGGGTAGCTCGGAGCGAGTGCCAGAGCCCAGAATGTCAACCCAGAGCCCAAGCTGGGCGCCTCTGTGCAACACTGTGGGGTGGGGGTGGCGGTCACACAGCAAGCTGCCTCCCCCAGCTGCATTATGGATGGACCTTAAAGACAAGTACTGTATGATTCCACTTCTACAAGGTACCTAGAGTAGTCAAAATCAGAGCCAGAAAGCCAGATTGTGGTTGCCAGGAACTGAGGGAAGGGGAGTGGCGGAGGGGGGACTAGTGTTGGATATACAGTTTCGGTTTTGCAAGATGAAAAGGGTTCTGGAGATGGATAGTGGTGATGGTGTACTGAATGGTGCACTTAAGAAGAGTTTAAGGTGGTAAATTTTGTGTTATGTGTATATACCATACACAAAAAACTTGAAAGGAGGAAAGAGAAGTTGACAGCACTGCGGACAGGTCTGGGGGGTGTCCAGGGCCAGGAGCTGCTCCTAGCAAACAATTTCAGTTGCCAGTTCTGCTGTGATTGGGCGGAGATCTGGGAGACAGCGCAGTTTTTCTGAACTTGATCCCTGTGTATACTCCTAATTCTATGACCTCACGCTGGCTTCCCAGGGCAGCTGAGGTGGGCCTGCCAAGGGGTGACGGCTGTTTTGCCAGTGAACAGAGCGGCCTTCAGCGGCAGGCAGCATGCAGGCCTGAGTGAGGGTGGGGGCGGGGAGCCTGTAATAAGTCATTGCAGTAATAGGAGAAAGGTAGCTACAGATTTCCTTTCATCTCTTCCCTTTCCCCCCTTTTCTACCCTCTCCACACTTTCCCACACAGAGAATATGTGGGTGCAGAAGGCCTCAGCCTCCCAGAGCCCTGGGTGGGGGGAGGAGGGTGTCTGATTGTGGTCCCCATTTGTCCACTGTGGAGATGATCTGTTTCTACTTCCGGACGCTTTGTCTCCATCGGATTTGCCCCTGACCACACAGAGCTGGTTCAGCGGGGTTTTCAGAAGT